TTCTATCAGCTTGAATCAGTCGGCCCATTCTCCTCTGACCTCTAGCATCAACAAGGCATTTTCGCCCACAGGACTGCCGCATACTGGATGTTTTTCCCTTTTCACACCATTCTTTGTAAACCCTACGTGAAAATCCCAGTAACTGAGCAGATTGTGAAATACTCAGACCGGCCCGTCTGGCACCAACAACCATGCCACGCTCAAAATTGCTTAATTCACCTTTCTTTCCCATTCTGACATTCAGTTTGGAGTTCAGGAGATTGTCTTGACCAGGACCACACCCCTAAATGCATTGAAGCAACTGCCATGTGATTGGTTGATTAGATAATTGCATTAATGAGAAATTTAACAGGTGTTCCTAATAATCCTTTAGGTGAGTGTATATATATGAGGCATTTATTATAATGGGTTTATGGTTTTTGGGATGATTGTTAATTTAAATTAAACCATTGTAGGATTGATGTACTATAATTGTTGTTGTTTTTTTATAAAAAATAATAGTTTGATCATTTTGAGTTGGATATACACACACACACACACACACACACACACACATCCCCAGTATATATTTGAACATAACAGATATTATTTAATATTGCACAATTAACTGAAATTGGTTTCTGCATGCTTTGCATCATCCATGAACTTGCCATGATTCTAGCATGCAAAGACAGCATAAACTGATAAATCATTTGTATGTAATTTATTTATTAATGCTGTTTTTCATGCAAAAAATATCATGGCAAGTATAGAAAACATTTATAATAAAACAGGGAAGATGGCGATTAAAAACTGTGAAAATGTGCAAATAAAGTTATAATATCATATAATAATATATAATAATACATGCATGCATCTTCTGTAAAGCTGCTTTGAAATATATATATACATACACACACCCTAATTATTTATAAATAGATGCATTCTTGCCTGTGTACATTTTCCATATTACTTTTTTGTTTTGTTTTTGTTTTACATAAATTTGTTTCCATGTTTTGAAGTGAGTGACATACTTTCAAATAAACTTTTTCACGTGTTGAGAGAAAATTCAAGATAGACCTGGTGAATCCGTGGGAGAACCAAACCTCAAGTGTTGCCTCTCCCTCATTCTATTACTCTCTCAGTGTCTCTCTTTCTCTCTAACTTTTTCCAAAGTACGTCAGTCAGACCGCACATCAACAGTTTCACTATCTTCAGAAGTCATGTGACATCGAGAGGCAGAGAAAAAGAGGATCTACCTACATCGAGCAACTCCTCCCCAAAAACTGCAACCCACACAACCACCCACAGCACTATATATACAAGAACAAAGAGCGGAGCCGGCAGACGTTAGCTGAGAAAGAGGATTCAGCGCATGGAGGTTTGCCTTTTCTTTTTTGGGAAAGTAACAACAAGAAGATTAGAAGATATGACACCGTTTATGGTTGTTCTGGGGTTAGCGCTGGTTTTTGAAGGTGAGCGGTCATGATAGAGGACGTGAATCCTTAAAATGTTGTTTAATCACCTTGTTTAATATATTCTTTCGTCTTGTAGATTTATATGTGCACTCTTTCTGTGTTCTGCAGGTGGTCAGTGTCTGGAACGTGAAGTGTTGGTGGCTCATGGTTCTGTAGCAGTTCTCCCATGTGTGGACGAGTCCTCTGCGCTCTCATATCCTACTGCAGTCTACTGGAGCCGGATGATCAGAGAGTAAGAGCATTTCATCCATCCATCCATCTATCCATCCAATCATATCCAATCATACAATAATCCATCCAATCATCCATCCATCCATCCATCCATCCATCCATCCATTTAATCATATCCAATCATCCAATTATCCATCCATCCATCCATACAATCATCCAATCATCCATCCATCCAAAAATCCATCCATCCATCCAATCATATCCAATCATCCAATCATCCATCCAATCATACAATCATCCATCCATCCATCCATTCAATCATATCCAATCATCCAATTATCCATCCATCCATCCAATCATCCAATCATCCATCCATCCATCCAATCATCCAATCATCCATCCATACAATCATACAATCATCCATCCATCCATCCATCCAATCATCCAAAAATCCATCCATCCAATCATATACAATCATCCAATCATCCATCCATAAACACATCTACCCAAAACCTGACAATCATATGAGCCCAAGAGGATGACCATTTTAAAGTCTCACTCTTTTTTCTCAATTTCCTAGTACACTGAAGACAGTTTGGCGGCGAGAGAAGAGCGGGTTAGAGTTTCGTCCGGTAAGAGACCAACCACGTGCAAACTGCCCCGTTCCCAACTTTGGAAAGGGCGATTACAGCCTTCACATCACTGGAACGACGTTTGAAGATGGAGGAAAGTACGTCTGTGAGGTTGAGGGAAAGACTCAGATGGTGAAGGTCATCGTGCTCAGGGTTATAAGAGGTAACAGACACAAACAACCAAGAATTTCCCATTCTTCTTTGATAAGCCATTGGAAATAGCCTTATCAGTAAGATTTCCTCTTTCTTCACAGCGTCGTTTTCTCCAGCAGTTGTGGTTGAGGGCTCAAGAACGGAGGCAATGTGCGACGTTAGTCCTAAGACACCATTTGTAAGCGTTACCTGTAAAAGAAACGGCCATTTTATAAGTAGAACCAGCCTCTCTAACGTGTCTCAAAGAGATGCAGGAATCTGGACCTGTCAGGTTTCACACAGAGGTCTGGTAGTAGAGGCAACCGCAGACCTACAGGTCAAAGGTGAGTGTTTGTTTTAAACACCGGCTTCTTTTATTAATAACTTGTGCAGGAGTGGCTCATTCACCTTCTCTGTTCCCTCTCCAGGAATCTCCACCCCTCAGGATGACTCTTCAGTGTTGTACGCCGCTGTGGGTTCCTCCGTCTCCTTGCCCTGCCTGTTTACTGATGGTCTGATCCCAGGCACTGTGACCTGGAACAGAACCGAGTCTCCTCGTCCTCTCCCTGCATCTTTCGACCGGTCTATTGGGTCCGCAACGTCTGCCACTATACAGAGGGTGGAGGATGGAGATGAAGGGATGTATACGTGCTCAGGAAGGATGAAGGGATTGAAAAGAGAGGGAATTAAAGTACAGAGAAGGATGGAGCTAGTTGTTACTCGAGGTGAGTGGAATCATACATCACATAGTCAGAATATATGAGCGAAGTAGTTTGTCAGCTAAACCTTTTAAACTTTTATCAACGTGGCTTTACAAAAAGAGACAAAAGGCCTATTTGCATAATGTGTTACAGTAAATATATTAAAATAACACATTAAAATAATTCTCACTTTTAATATAATAGATTTTTAATAAAAAATAAATTACAATATTTTATAATACAATATTTTATTATTTTATATTATAGTATTTTTAACCTTGTTAAATTGTATTACCTTTGGCTTTACTAAAAAAAAAAAAAAGGAAAAAAATCTATATTCTATAATTATATATATATATATATATATGAACAGCTGTTCCTTTTTTTATCAATTCACACAGTCTAAAAAATTATTATATAGGCTACCTGAATGAGTTATTTTTTAATTAGCCTTTGATCATCAAAGTGGGCTTAATTTCCTCATAACTTCTGATCTGTGGATTTCTGAATTTGCTGAATGCTGATTACTTTGTTTGTTTTTTTTCTGTGTAGTTTTGAGCTCCTCATCATCCAGTGGTAACGGACCCGTGACCCTGACCTGCCATCTCAGCAACTCCGACCAGATCACTTCCTATGAATGGCTCCGTGTAACTTATGGACCAAACGACACTCAAACGGTGACCTCTGTCCAGAAGACAAAGAGCTTCAGGATTAAACAAGTGACTGAGAAACATGCTGGTGAATGGATGTGTCGGTACTACGGGAAACAAGGAGTTCTGGGGAACGTGACTTATCAGTTTAACATTATGGGTAGGTAGAGCAGTTATATAGCAGTAAAGGAAATAAAAAATAAAAACATTTTATAGAATCATGATTGGACCCTACATTTTCCTTAATTCTCTGTTTTGTTCATTTCTACAGGTGCTCTAAAGAATGAAAAGTCAAGTCCTGGCAATAAAACCGCTATGGTGATGGGATTAGGATTTTTGTTCTTGGTGATATTCCTGGTTTTGTTCCAGATGTACAGAAACTATCGCAGGGTACGTTTCAGTCTTGATTTAATAATGCAATTCATGCCCATTCATTTATGCAGTATACTGAGTCTGATATACTTTCAGTTTCAGTTTAAAATAGATTGTAATTATTTATATCTCATATTCCTCCCATTTATTCCTACAGAAGAAGGCGATCCTGCTTTACCCAGCGATGGAAACCATCGTCCACCAGGCCACCACTGAACGAGAGCAGAGACAACGGAGCAAGGCAAAGATGACTGAACCTTGTGTTGGAGATCCCAAATCAGTGTGTGTGTAAATTTGTGTTTTTGTGTGGAAATTTTGTCAATGCCTGTGTGTTACTTTATGTTAATGTGTGCATTTTAAATGCAGACAATTGTAGCAGTCCATTTAAACTGTAAATATATTACCGACATATAAATCTATAGCATTTTGAATAAACTAATTTTGGTGCAAATATATATTTTTTTCAAAAATAAATGTAAACTCTATGTAAATAAAGCAATAAACTTAAATACTTAATTTCGCATGTTTTAATTTAATTCTTTCTTTTTTTTTGTGCACAGTATTACAAACAGGTTTCTTAAATGCAGTTTCTTAAAATTGCTATACAAGAAAAAAAGAAAACAATTCTGTACACAATTACATTTCAGTAAATATAATTATAACTATACAGTAGACACAATGTTAATAATTTTTTCATAAAAAATGCGAAGACTGTGTGTGTAGCCTATATATAGGCTATCACTCAAATATATTTGACTGTAATAGTCATGCTACATAATCATTCAACAACACCGCAGAACCATTATATATTACATTTTTGCAAACACTTTTCACACAATTTAAGTAGCCTACACTAAATCTACATACTAGACCACTACACTAAAGCTACACCTCACTGCACTCAGTGTCATCTTTCCGCTCTGTTCTTTTCGTCTCTGACCTGCGAAGCTCATTTATGGTCAGATTTGGATCAAACCAGTCTTCAGCATCAAAGTCCTCAAAACCGAAAACCTCCTCATCGTCAAAACACCAGCCTGGCCAGTCAACACTGACGCCCTCCATGACATTTCTGTCACAAGGGAGAGAACAGGGGTTAATGTCTTCGAAAGAGTAGCCTAATGGTTATTGTTATTTCCCTGGTAAAATGTCATTTTTGGCAAAATGGTAATAGGGTTGATAGATTATGAGGTATAAATGAATGAATAAATCAATAGATTTCATTAATATTAACTCTTTCCATGCCATTGACGGAATTTTCCGGCTTTCCATGTTTTCATTGTTATACTGTTGGGGGCGCTATTACACCTCTTCTGAAAGAGGACAAAATCTCCTGATCAAAACACAGACAACAAAAAAGGATCAGAAACAAGCGATAATAGCATTGCTTATGCACGTTGTAAACGTGATTTTCTCAGCTTTTTCTTCAAATGTTTTTTTTTATTTTTTTTTTTTATGAAACTTATCTTCATTCAAGTGTTGATAAAAAAAAAGCTTGAAGCTTGAAATAAAACGTTTGTTGTTGTTGTTTAAAAGCATAAGCTCTGTTCTTTCTTTTGATAGGCTTTATTGCATGTTCAGATATTCAAAAACATATTCCGGGGGCCATGACATTTTTTTTTGTTGAAAATTATCAAAAACATTTGCAGTGGCTGGCAACTTTAAAAAAACAAAACAACAACAACAAAAACAAAAAAACACTGGCAATGCTTTTTTTTTTTTTTTAGACCATTTTCACTAAATGTTCATAGCCACCCGTCTTTCTCATCCTCACTTCCATCCACGTTTCCCTCTCTCCATTCGTGTGTGGATATCACACTGGGTCCTGCAGATTTCTCTCCTTCTGCCTCTCTCTCTCCCTCACTGGCCGAAGGTGATGGAGAGGCGGAGATAGTAATTTGTTGTATGAATATCTGAACATGCAATATATAAAAAGAAAGAACAACAGAACCTCTGCTTTTAAACAAACAAACAAAAACAAAAAATCTGTTTTATACTTTTTTTTATCAACACTTGGATGTGGGTAGCCTAAGTTTAATTTAAAAAAAAGCAACATTTTGGGCAAAAAGCTGAGAAAATCACGTTTTTGTTAAAGCTGCAGTCCGTAGCTTTTTTTGGGTCAAAAATGATCCAAAATACATAACCAGCCAGTGTTCAAAACGGGAGATTCGAGCATGTCTTTGTGTCATTACGTCACATCTGTACACATAAAGAAGGAGTCTCGGCTAGTAGGCTATATTGCGTGTGAGGATGTTGGAGGTGGAGATTTATAGCCTTTTCTCACAGCACTTGATATAATTAAACGTATCAATTTGATGGTGGATCCAGAAAGGTTCAAACGACAATCACCAGTGACAACAGATTCACCCGCTGTAAAATGCAAAAGACTTCGTTCGGACTTCGGAGTGGCTACAGAAAAAAAGAGACTGCAACCGGACCCATGCGAAATCAAGGATACATATCGGAAGTACATTACATGTAGTCACGCAATGCTGACGTTGTTAACATTAACAATTTGAGAACAAAGTATAATTTGCACGGTTTTGCGTGATATGATAAGCGATTTTTAGATTTAATCAGCGCGATTTACTGCAATGTCAGAACCAGAACAAAAGTGGATGTTACATACTTACTTGTTCAGACATTTTCCGGTGAAAATTCTTATGTTAGTCATACTTCCAAAAAGAATAATCTGTGATTCTGAATGCCAGTATCCACACCGGCGCAGTGACTGACAGCTGCACACTCTCCTCAAACATTGTGTTCATCCGCGCTGTGTCGTGTCGAACTACAACTCACGCAAAGTTGATAATTCCGCGAATAACTGCAATTGCAGATTTCGAACAGAGATGGCGACAAAAAGAAAAAACTGCGGACTGCAGCTTTAATGACAGTAAAATTGTAAAAAAGCCGGAAAATTCTGTCAATGGCGAGGAAGCGTTCTCACAAATTACGGAAATTTCCGTCAATGGTGGGGAAAGAGTTAAAAGAAATTCATATTTTGACACAATATAATGCTTATCAGACCATAAAGTAGCGTTTATTAAAATTTAGAAATGTCATGAACATTTTTAACGATATTTTTACAGACCCCCTTTAGCCTACCTTCAAAGACCCCTAATTGAAAACCATGAATAGAAAGCACAAAGTACATTTAAATAGTTAGAAATGTCATTAAGCTTAATTCATGTGTGTCTAATATATTTGAATGTACTGTACATTAACTTCTGATCTGTTCTGAGCATTACATAACGTTTTAAATGACCTATTAAAGAAATGCATTATTAAGTGTATTGCATATGCTGTGTAATTCTGTTTTCAGGGGAAGCCTGACTCCTAATGGTCCTTATGAAGAACTAACTGTACTATGAGAGATATATACTTCAGTAAAATTTTAGAACAATGATGTGGTAGAATTATCTTACAATTTCCAGCGAAGGTTTGAATATAATAATTAGAGAGAATTTTATGTAACAGTACACAGATGAATTGTGTGTGGGCAGAGAAAAGAAATAACGCACATGAAACTGTCAAGTTCCGCAGCGCAGTGAAGTCTCTCTACAGTCATATCTAACAAATGGAACAAATACACTTAAAATGAAAATGATTGATTTTCCACTGGGCAGTAAGGGTTATTTCTGGGTTTAATTTAGGAGGAAAAAAATAAAATAAAAATTACACATGCATAAACACATTCAAAATGGTGTTTTAAACTTTAAACAAAGTGATGTGACAGATGCTGTTAGACTTTATGAGTCCTAATATGTATATTTATGCATATATTTATCAAATAGTTTGCATATTATTTCTTCCTTGAGGTTTGTTGGTAAAGTTTCAGTTTAATGTAATGTAATTTAATTTATTTTTTCTCATTATGTTCAACCCTCTCTTTTGCAGCTGTGCTTACTTTCTATGTAGTTTTATACAAGTTTAATAAATGACACAATGTTAAATATATGATACAATATTCTATTATAAATTACAAATGTTAATTTAATAAAAAAAATACCCTCATCATGTCAGCTTGAATGAAATAAGTAGCCAGTGCAACCTGTGCCCCTTCAAAAAATGTTTGCATGACAAGTCACCATCAGATGTTTTCATGATGTGACTAAAAACAGTTAGTTACTGTAAAACTTAGATTGTGTGTCCAGATCACACTACCTGTACCAATAGTGATGCATGTAGACTCACCCGTCTTTCTCATCCTCACTTCCATCCACGTTTCCCTCTATCCATCTGTGTGTGGATATCACACGGGGTCCTGCAGATTTCTCTCCTTCTGCCTCTCTCTCTCCCTCACTGGCCGATGGTGATGGAGAGGCGGAGATAGTAGGAGAATTTTTTAGAAAAGAAGTCCTCTCTTTTGTCTTTCCCACTCTTTTTCCCCGTGCACGTTCCTTTTCCCGTTCCTTAGCCCTCTGCAGCAGGTGCTGGAGCGGAGAAGGGTGAAGCTGGTCGGCGTCTGGTGGCGGTGAGGGACTGCGTCTGCGAGAGGAGCTGATCTCCTGGATGGAGGCGCTCCTCTGTGTCTTTAGTCTGGGTTTTGTTTGACGGTTCCCATCAGGCTTCTGCTCAGGTTCAGAGAGCGTCTCAGGATCTGGCGAGGATCTCTTTTCAGGAACGTTCCATAATGTTTCATGGTTGTTTTTTAGAAATCCCAGCTTTAGCACTCTGGATGCTCTTCTCTGGTTCCCGTTGGAGTTTGTATTGGGAGGAAGCTCCAATCCATTCGCAGCTTCCTTGGAACTATCAGGGTGGATAGATGGTTGCAAATTTTTCGGATGCTTCTTCCGTAAGCGAGGAGACTTCACGTTCCTGATGAACCTCCCTGATTCTGTGAGGAAACCATTGTCATCTTCTGGTTGGCTGCACAAAGAATTCTTCCTGATTCCTTGAGAGTCATCATATGGATCCAGATGTGGTTTCTCTGTTTCTACACTTGCCCTACATGTCGGTGTAGTTACTAGAGGCTTGATGGATGAAGAAGTGCTTGGCATGGATTGGCTAAAAGTGGCATTTTTGTCCACATGTCCACCTGGCAACAACGAGTGTCCATTTCTCACAAGTAAGTCCTGTTGTGTGATTTCATTAGAGTTTGAAGATGTATCATGTTTCCATGTAACTCGCCTTTCATTTATTTTAAATGGGACCTCTTCCTCTTCCCACTGCCTGTTTCTCCCTTCATTCGTTTTAAATCCAGCTGAATCAGTCTTTCCCACAACTTCTTCATGAGATGATTTGCCCTGATCATTCCGATGACCGACACGTGGAGAGTTTTGATCCTCTGCCGGCTGTTGAACTTTACTTTGCTCCACGTCTGTCTCCACATCTGTCTCAGAAGTGCGTCTTTGAGAATTTAAACTGTTTAGACACTCAGCTTGGTCAAAATCACTATCAGATCTGTCACTATCTGACTGGCCACCAGGATCCTCTATGACTTTGTCAGGCAGTTTATTCTGAATGGGAGGTCTCTCTGATCCAACTAGCTCTGCCTGTCTTGTGGTCTTCAGGGTTTTGTTGGTCTCATTTCTCCTCAAAGACTCTAATGCTGCCTAAAAATATCAACAAGAATCAGTTATAATTACAAACTATTCAACTACGTTTGACTTTCTGATTCAGTATTCTTCTCACAATCTTAAATACTGCACAGGTGTATTAGGGTATATAATAGACACTTTCCATGAAACACTTTAGTGTCCACTCCAGTTAAAAACACAACTGGCACAAAGCCCATGTTTTTCCTCTCAGAAATGAACTTATTTGAATTTTCAAACACAACGCAAATGCAGCGTAATACAAGCATTACCTGTTTACCGCATTATACACACCTCTCTTTACCGCATGATTTCCCCCAAGTACATTTTTTTTAATGTCATTTGTATATATTTTTTTTCAAATCAGCATCGATCAACATATTCCGAATTTGTTCAAAAGAAAAATCTTCATATTTAAACATTTTCCAGCCTCATTTTGTGTCCTATTCGTGGAAAGTGCCAAAAGTAGATAGTTCAATGCATTCATTTAGAAATAACAAATGTCAGTTTTTCAGGGTTGGGCTTGTACATGCTGTCACACTGGTGTTTGATATTGAGGGTGTTTGCTACGAGTACCTGCGTCTCACGCAGAGCAGACACCCATGACACGCAGTTGTCTGGACTGGGTGTGGACAGGAAGTTCACACTGACAGAACAACCAAGATCACCAACCTCCACCAGCACAAACGAATCTACCAGACAGAGGAATAGAAATAGTGTGAGCATCAATGTAGTACCCTATAATAAATATTTACAGAAACATATTACAACTTGAAGTTCCAATCAATTTTCCTTGAGGTTATAAGTAGATTCCATGTTCAGGTCATTTGCATGTTTGAATTCACAATTGCGTAAACATAATGAATCTTTTGTGACAAGTACCAAGACTTTGACACACCTTAGGTTGAGTCTTTCTCTGATTCAAAAAGCCCAATTATAAACCAGCTTATCAAGTAATATGCCAATCTGAGCCCTGACATGCTAAGAACAGTTTGCTAAATTATATAAAACAGAATTCCATGTGGAAAATTAATGTGCATGTTGATGCTGACTTGTTATATGTCATGTATTCTGTGTCTTTGTGCATTTTCTACAGATTTTAGGTTGTAATATTTGTAATTTTTGACGTGTGTTATTGTTATTATATATTTTTATTGTGCCTCTTATATTTATGCATGGTATCTAACTAAATATTTATTTAGCAAACTGTGAAATATGAGTGATACCTTACATAAGCTCTTTGTACATAATGCCATAATATTATTAAAAACTAGCACAAATCTAGAATATTAAAATAATAGAAATTGGTTCTCATTTCAGTTGATGTTCCTGAGCTTTTTGTGCCATCATGATTATTACTCTGACCTTTTTTGACCCAATTTACTGTTTAAATATAAAGGAATTTTCTGTATTGATTTTTCACAGGTGTTTCACCTGTATTTTGAATTCCACTTTGCATTTTGCTGTGTTTTAAAGTCACCATGAAATCCAAATTGACAATTGTTATTTTTTATGGAATATTGCAGTATGTATAATAAATGATTTATCTGTGTACATCATTATTTATTTTTTTAATTCATGTGCCCTTTAATCAAAATAACTTCCCCTCCCTATTGCAGCAACATCTCTCTGATGATGTGTTTACTGCTGTGAGGGCAGGGCAACCTGTCACTCACAGGAGATTGAACAATAGAAAACCACAACCATCCAATGATCCAAGCAATTCCTGATGGGCAAAATCAAGTCTCGCCCTACATTTTTTCTTGTCTGAGAAGCAGTTTCACTCAAACATGTCACAATAGGAAGGAAATACTATTGCAACTTCAATTTCAGTTAAAGGAAATGTCTGTAAACTATGTCCTGGCAGACATTTAGCAGTTCCCTTTATGTTTTTTACAGTGTGGTGCATCATTATGATTCTATTAAAAAAAAAATTTGGCATAAAAACAACAAAAAAGTGACCAGGGCATGATGTGCATTACAAATGTCATTGGGTATACCTTCCCTTTTATGCTGATGTGAGCTGAAGCTTCAGTTGAGGTAAGGATTATGTGATTATTATATACAGTAGGAAGTTGTGGACACACTCACAGCCATCTTTGAGCTGAATGCAGTGTATTCTCTCCAGAGGCAGAGGGGGGCGCACTACCTTCAGTTTGTCTGATTTCCTCTGTGTTTTGGTCATCAACAACACATCAGTGAAGAGCAGGACCACAAGCTCCTAACATAACCAGAAAAGAATGTTGAAATTCTGAGGCAAATACATTTAATAGGCAACATCATATAATCACATTCGTCTTGTTTGTCTTGTCACTTGCCTTGTTGTCCTTTCTTACTCTGACCTTCAAAGTTTCTTCCAGTAATAGCCTCCGTATGACATTTGGTCCAACCCCCCTCATCGGGCTCGTCAAATCAAAGCAGCACAACTCACGGACATGCTGTGGGTGAGATCTCTCTGTTAGGCTTTTTTTTTAAAGCAAACATTGTTCTAACATTGTATTTATTGTTTACCTTGTCTATTTCTTCACTCAGACCTTCTATCTTGTGTCCCTCTATCCTTTGAGCAGCAACAGAAAGGTCTTCTTTCAGATGCATATAGTCATTGATAGATTCCAGAAAATGATTGACACTGTTCAACTACAGGAGAAAGAGTGAGAAAAACAGAGTGCAGATCTTTATCTTTAACGTCATTGATAGAATTAAGACCGTGGCGTGCAAGCATATTTATATTCGAGAGAGAGGTATAGAGAGACAGAGATTACAAGGATGATAAAAAGGCGATGCAGCTCAAGAGTTTGAATTTTCTCATATTGTTTTAGTAGTGGGATATTTCACACATAATATATATTAGATTATTAATACCAACTGAAAATGCTTCTATTTTTATTCTATTCCATTCTTCAATTGTATTTTATTTGCCCCCTTTATTGGTTTAATGGCAGCAGCACTTGAACTGCATGAACACTTGTTTGCAATACATAATTATTGCAAACAATTATTAAAGTTCTTTATATATTCTTACATATTTCTTACATATTTTAGTGTTCTAATCACTTTCCAAAATCCTGAAATTTCATCAATTAAATGTGGTCACTTTTGAACTCAGTAGACATGCAGTTTTATATTGTTGCTCTCAGACAGAAACCTTGTAAATCCTACTTTTCAGAAAAAAAGAAAAAAAAACTTCCTCTAACCTCTAAACTTCCTGTCTCTACAGACGTGCCGAAAAGTTCTGAAGGCGAGACCCGCACAACAAGGAGAAAGTTTTTCTCTTTCACCTTGATGTCCGCCACAGGTTCAACCACAGATGTCTCTCCGTGGCCACCAATAGCAGCGTCTGTTTGTTTGGTGGCCCAATTTGTAGTGCGGTGCAGCTCAGCGACCACTTCGGGGGACAGTCCCTGCCACTGATTCAAATCCTTTAGCAGATCTAGCTGCAGCACGGCCATTCTGTGCACGGACGTTCTCATTCAAACATGAGGTGGTCTGCAATGGCTCAGACGGCAGGGACGGAGCCTTTAAAGAGGATGCATCAGCCTGAGAGAGATAGCCTGTAAGCGTCTCTTCAATAGGATGCATCCTCACATATCCCCACTCACTCAATCCCTCCACACTCAAATATTTCGAATGCTGAAATGGATAGATGCGAGCTGAATATGGCCTCTTCCATTTAGTTCGAGAAGAAACGGAAGGCTCATTGGAGTGGGGCGGTTATGGCAGGAACCGTCCGTCAAGTCTTCCACGAGCGGCTGTCTCTCGTGCCCCTAAACTAGATCCAATCTAGTTGTGGTGCAGACCATTACATCCAGCAATTCCTCGTATGCTGGGCTGGTAGGCTGAGAGAGCTCAATGAAAGCTATATCTTTGCCCTCTTCAACTACATCAGTCTCCTCCTGGCTGGATGGCGCCAGCATCATGCTATCTGCTGGATTCGAAGACTCAAGAGAGAGTACGTCCTGATCCGAGCCAGTGGTTGAGGAACGCAAGCGAGACATACCTTTCTTGAACTCTCCAAGCCAGCTCGACTTGCAATCCCCACAACTACAGTCTCTACTGTGCCTCAGCTACCGTAGGGCGCAGACGCTTGTGCCGCATCCCTCGAGAATAGGGTCAAGTGCGAACAGAGCTCACTCATTGTGAATCTCTCATAATGGGTGCATTCTGATCTCTCGAGAACTTAACGCACGTGCTCCTCACTCAAACACAAAACACACAGGTCTTGTGTGTCCTCAGGTGTCAAAAACCTGGGACACGGAGGCACGCACTTCCTGAAACGCTTGCTTGAGTGCTTATCCATGATAGTTGCGTTCACACGCACTAACACAAACAAACGTCTCCTGAAGACAAAAAAAGGTGATGATACTCCCGGGCGCTCTGGTAGTGATTTCATGGACTGTCATCGGCCAATGAAGTTGTTGTGTTGGTACAAATGCTTCAGACACCAGTCAAGCTGATATCGTTCCATCTATCCTCAAACCAGACACACTCTTGAGTACCACTTCGAAAGGGAACAAGCAGAGACAGTCCAAACTGCAGTGGAACTTCATTCACAATAGAGGCGGGGTGGAGTTATGAGGTTTTACAGAGGATCCAATGGAGTTACAAGGTTTAGTCACAAACCATACTCAATACTTTTCATTGGTTAGATATTTGCTAAACCCACAGACAGACATAAAGGGAGACAGATAGTAATGATTTATACAAAAAAAAAGACGAAATATGGAGTTACGAGATTTCTACCCGAAAGCAACAATAATTGATATCAGGTGTTTTCTGGGGACCCGCAGTGGGCTCAAAGTAGTGCTAGGGCTCCGTGAAAATATTGGTTTAGACCAAAGGCCTATTTTTTGTGGAAGCACTATAATAAATTTGATTTGAACTTCATTTTCAGATAATATTATGTCTCCATAAATGGCCATTTTTTTACCATTAAAAACATTATGCATTTTGTATTTGTTTTACACAGTACAAATGAAATTTACAGTATATGATGTGATTCATCCCCATTGTGTCACAGTCTCACCATTCTCTCAAGTGCGATTTGGGTGGGGTGGTTTTGTGTGTTCTTCTGAATAGCTTTTAGCAAAAGATGATATTTGGTTATTCTCTGGTATGCTTTGGCCTGCATTTCGCCGAGTCTCATTCGCCCACACTGTGGATGATTCTCCACCCACTGCAGAACAGATTACATTAAGATAATCAGGACCATCATGCATGCATTTATCTTCATGCAACATATTTGATAGTAATCTATGACTTATGTGCATCTGTGGTGTACAAGTCTTTTATACAGTTTTTTTTCTAAATGATCATATCGCAAATTAGCATGTAAACTTTAATAGTGTGGTGTAGTTCTGTTCTTTGCCATTCTATATTTTAGTACAACTAGTCAATTAAAGATAAGGTTAATTAAACCATTTTTGGACTTAATGTGCATGTGCAGTATTGTTTACTATGTACCCTTCATAGCTCACCCCCTAATCAACCACTACAGTCAAACCATCACAAAGGAAGGCGATCTTACAGTCATTTCTACCCTGCTCACTCTGCATACTGTCCACTGGTGCAAAAAAACATTGACAGGGGAACTTGGTGTGGTAAACAGTTCATTCGAAATGTGGAAAACAAATTCACACCTCTCCACCCAATACTTATGTCTATATTTGATATTTTTTTCCAGCCTTAATTTAGCTTCAGATAAAAAATAAAGTTTTTTTTAGCATAAGCTATTATCAAGTTTCCTTTTAATGTTTTTCCCCCCTTTAAATGGCACCTTTAAGATCTATTAAATCTCATTGAAATGCATCAGTGGAAAAAAGAAACCGAAAAAGACAGCATTGTATACATTAACATTAAACCCAACTCAAAACGATTGGCTAAATCAGGGGTGTCCAAATTTGGCCCTGGAGGGCCTCTGTCCTGCAGATTCTATAGCTCCAACTTGCCTCAACACTCCTGTATGGACGTTTCTAGTATTCCTTCATTAGCTGATTCAGGTGTGTTTAATTGGGCTTGGAGCTGAACTCTGCAGGACAGTGGCTCTCCAGGAGCAGGATTGGACACCCCTGGGCTAAATGGTGTTCAAAAACTTCCAGAAGTGGAACTTTTCTCTCTTTGCATCGCTCCGTCTGTCCGTGTTTGCACGTTTCAGGCATTTTTCAGTGACCCTTTCTGCATTTACATCGTTAAACCAGTAGGTGGCAGTATGCGCACAGTGTCGCTTCAAGTCGAACACACCTAGGGTGCTTCTCATTTCTTATTTGTGCATCCTCGCTTCCTTTCCTCACGTCTTAGCTCCACCCCTTTAGGATGCGAGGGCTGGATACACCTGTGTATCCTCTCTCATGTCTCCTCAGAAAGCTTCCTCACTCCTCGTTCCTTGCCTCCTTGAGGTGCAATTGGGAATTGAGATGTCCTTAAAGATGGCTGAATTCGATCGGTTTCCAGGTCACGGACTGGAAGACGGAGGAGCGAGGAAACGAGGAAGCATCAATTTAAATATTGAGAAGCACCCCTTGAGTTTTTGAATGAATCAGTTGAACAGATCATTCAATGACTCATTCAGGAAGAACTTGTTGCCACCTATTGGCTGGAGCTACCTACTGATTTATTCAGGAACGAACCAAGTGGCTGTTACAGTAAACGAGGGAGGTGTTGAATCATTCACTGAACCAGTTTGTTTAAAAGCAGTGATTTATTTTTTTATTTACTATTGCTTTATTTGCATTATAATTTTTTTTCAATAGAATAATTATTTGCTTTTAACATATGAATATGATTTACTGTACCATAAGATAGGTGTGAAAGTGTGGGTTTGTGTCAAGCTGTCTGCGTGCAAACTCCACATTTCTCTCTCCTTCCCAACAGTATTCAAAGTATGCAGGAAAGCGCTCTGGAAACTGGAAGAGATTTAAAAAAAATGAGGGAGATAGAAAAAAAAGGGAATTACGGGATAGCAAAGGTATATCTGTTTTTAGCTTTATTACTTATAATTTAATGAACAACAGTTTTATCATACCTGCAAACATCCAGCCTCAAGTTTCAGAGGGTCAAAGGGTCGTCCAGTGAGACGGACTTCTTGTAACATTGGATACATCACTTCATGCCAAAAGAGTCGATGTGCGTCAAGGATAGAAGGAAGATTGGAAAAGAGCATTGTGGGTCTGACCTAAGAAAGAAAGAAAGAAAGAAAGAAAGAAAGAAAGAAAGAAAGAAAGAAAGAAAGAAAGAAAGAAAGAAAGAAAGAAAGAAAGAAAGAAAGAAAGAAAGAAAGAAATGGAAAAAGATTAATTGATACAGATGATAGCCACAGACATGCGTGCTATCGCCCACACGCTCTACGACAGAGCAAAAATAATTTTCCATCTTGTCCGCTCAAAATGTTTCCATTTGTGACATCACTGGTAATGCTCCAGATTATATTGAATGAACAGAATGAGTGATCTCAGACAAATTACAGTGAACAGCACATTATTCGACCGCACTTCTGCCGTCATGCTTATGCAGTCAGTCTGCCAACTATTAAGATCTGCTGACTATGTAACTCTAGAAGGTCAATTCAGAAGAAAGGAGTTCATGTAAATACTATGTGAAAGATGAGACGAGATGTACATACTTCCTGAAGGAATCCGTGTCCATGACAGTGTGACAGTGCTGCCAGCACGAGCTGTGCGAAATGAGTATATGCATTAGCCAAAACTTTAGCATCTGTTGTACATGCATCATTTATATAAAAAGGAACTAAGGAACTAATGTGTTAAAGAATATCTGCACAGCATACATGTATTATTTTTCTGATTCAGATTGTTATTGTGAATTGATTGTCTATATCTGATCAAATAAACCATAATAAATCCATAATAAAATGAATAACTGTAATATCATGACATACTTCTTTGACAATAGTGAGTTTGTTGATGAAGTTAAGCTCAGTATTAAGAAATTCCCACAGCGCCTCCTGTTGGTGTCGTTGGGTTTTTGACATAAACTACAAAGACAGAGAAAAAGAGAATGTCATTATTCCTTCCCCATACAATAAACATACTTCTGCTGTCTTCTCTGTTCTGACCACTGAAGTTTTTATCCACTGCGTTTTATTAACTTTGAGCATGATTGTATTTATTATTCTTTTGGCAGACATCACCAATCACCCAACCTGCTTTGCAAACATTATGCCTTTTCATTTTCTAATGGTGCGCTCCGCCTAAGAAGAGAGAAATTCCTAGTTCCTAGTTCCCAGTAGGAACATTTAACATTTCAAGTCAAAGTCACGACTGGGAAACTAGGGGGAAGTGAAACAGCCCCAACTTCAGAATCTAATATGGCTGCTCAGCACATCAACTGTAGTGAAACAGTAAAAATATATTGTTTATTAGCACTTCTGTTTGTCTGTGTTTAATAAACTCAGTGGAGTACACTATGCACGTCAGCACTATCTTTGCAAAATACCATTTTTTATGTGTTTGTACTGTAAAGGTAAAAGTAATAGGGATACTGGGAACAGAAGGAGAGGGAGAGGGGATAAGAATCACCAGGAAGGCACTATTTAAATTTCTTAAAGACACCGGGTCGATGAGTAGAATATAAGAACATCATGTTACACACTCCTGTACAGTAGGTGGCGGTATGCACCTAAAAGTTGTTTGCAATCCGCTATGAATCAAGATAAGAAGAAAAAGAAGAATGTAAAAGTTTGCCTGGATGCAGGCATCCATCTTAGTTTTCTGACCAGGTGTGCGTTTCCCGAAACCATAGTTGCTAACCTGTTAGCAACTTAGTTGGTTGGCAATGGGAAATTGCATTGCAACCAACAAAGTTGCTAACTTAGTTAGCAACTATGGTTTTGGGAAACGCACCCCTGGTTAGTGAAGTCGGGTGTGAAGTCATTCCCATGTATAGCTACGACATCCCTCTTCCGAGGTAAATGGAACGCAGCATAACTAATCTAGTTCTAGAATGTAGGCTATCTGCAGTGGTCAGGTGATACAGCATTCACATAGTACAAGACAAAGCTTCTCAGAAAATCCTGACATTGAAACTCGGAATCTCTGTAATTTTGGTAATTCTGACATGACATAAATGTACCTTGAGTTTTTCCTCCCGCCACATATTATTTCCATCACAAAAGTTGTGCGAGCAAATGCAGTATTTCTCAGGGTAACGCAAAAGGTTTATGAGAGAATGCAAACGTTTTATGAGTCAACGCAAAGTTTCTTGGGGAACGAAAACGTTTTGCTAGATAACCAACTCGATCTCATGAGAAAACTTTGCTATTTTGCGAGGTAGTGATTTTGTATGAATTCATATGATGTTATTGATACAAAAACATGATTATTAGAAGAAGAAAAAACATAATCATGAAGGTATACTCCTAACCCCACCCCTAAATTCATAAATACGTGCGTAGGCCTAACAATCTGTGTGACATAAGCAGATCATACAAAAAGTACAAATGAGATTGTACAAATTCATACAAATTATCAACCAATTCGCTAAAATGAATAATAGCCTTGGAGAGAACGCAAAGCATTGAAATAATTTTTCCCGTCCCATCTGAAATTTTCCCATCACCATGTCCCTTTAAGGGCTGAATAGAAATATGTCGGGTTTTGGAAATTCCCAATTCCCTCTAGTTCCCTCTCTCTCATCCATCCATCCATACCTCATGAGAGTGCACTATGTCTGTCCAGCTCTTTTCCAGTGCTCTTTCAGTACCTCCCTCTCCCCACGTCCACCTCAGATCAGCAGGCATGTTGAAAGAGTCCAGAACTTGTTTCAGTGCATCCACCTGCCCCAGTACACCACCCGAGAGAGAGAAAGAACAGAAATGTAATGGGAAAAAAAGTTGTTTAGTACAAATACAGCATGCAGACCGAAAAAGTACCTCCTGCATACACTCCCAATTTAGGCAAAAAATGAATTACCTCCAATGTGCTGTTTTTGTCAGACACTCCCTGGCTGAAAAGCGCCTGCTTTAATGCACCTCTGGTCTTCACAACGGCAGATGTTCCCTTGCTCATGGTAGAAAAGTCCACAGCTGACCTCTGCTTCTTTTTCTGACAATGCAAAAATTGATATGTGACAAGCTGAATAACCCACGTTTTGTAGTGACGTCCTTTACTAAAAACAACAAGATTTACAAGTAGAAGAGAAGAAGCATTCCTCGTAGCCCTAAATATGCAGAGGACATTGATTGGTTGATACAATTACATGACCAACAAAGGACATTGTTTCATGTTCTAATTGGTTAAAACACTCGAGGACACACGTATGGCTGTTTCTCCGAACTTCTGAATATGTGAGCACCACTATGTGGAAAGCAGTGGGCATTTGTGTTTTATTAAAAAGACTTCAGCCTGAATCTGCGTTTCAGGGCACCTGGAGGGTTCCAGTAACTCCAAGGTCAAGGTCATTTGATTCCCATGGCCATGGACCACAGATGCTGATAAAATGCTCAATGATAAATAATTTAAAATGAATAAAGAGTCTAGTTTAACCCTTAAACGCATACCTCGGGTCTTCAGTGACCCAGGACGTCATGTATATACCCTCCTCCTCATTCAGTTAGACATTAACCTTCTTAGTATTCCTCAATCAATTCATTATAAACAATATAAAAAGAACAAAATTATAAAAGAATGGAAGTTTTTTGTAAAAATGTAACAGGGTCGCTAACGACCCAAGGTGTGTAACTGTATAAGTATATTTTTCTGCACAACAATAATTGAATCTTTGATGACTTAATAAGTGCAGTTCACCTTTATTCCACAAGGAGGGAACATCTCATACACAATAATGAAGTGACGTTTTACCCGCAGGCAGAAAAGATTCAATCCGATGAAAATAATGTTTTTCTAGGTGTTAACATGTTCTTGTGGCATTTTTCTGATGTTAGAGGACATATCTTGAGAAAAATAAGCTCAAAGTTGTATTTCTGAGTATTTCTACATTCAAATGGCTGTGAATCAGTAGCAGACGCTAAAATGCCGGCTAAAATAGACTGGAGTTGTGACTAATGCCGCGTTCCAGGCAACCTGTAACCCGTGTTTTTCCAACCTTATACCTGTGAAAGTGCACTGGAACGGCAGTCAAACCCGTGACTTCCCACCCGTTTTTTTTACAGTCTATGCTTCCCACCCGTGAACTCGTACTAGATCGATGTACTCCCAGTTACGAGTTCTGACGTCACATAGCCCGCAAAGAAGTGTCCACAACGCAGAGGCGAATTGCTAATGAGCTACTGCCGCTCTGCTGAAGCGAAGTCCCAGAAAACGGAACAGGTTTTGTGACTTTGGCTAAAAATGGCATAATCATAATTTAAAGACCACTGGGAATGTTTAAAAATAGCTCAAAATATGATCGGAGTGGGACTTTAAAGAAAACAAAAGAATAGGAAGCATCATCAGTAAAATTTATGGCTCAACGATTTACTGCAGAGCAAGTAACGTTACTGAACGCAATAAAATATTAGTGTCACTGTCACTTGATGGTGGATCTGGTAAAGAAGCTGTCAGCGTTAAACAAATATTGATTTTGAAGATGTTAAAAATGATAGTTTTGAGAATATGTTTGAGATCGCGAATATGAGCCAGATGCTGAATGAAATGAGCTCTGACGAGTACCGTGATGATGGTATAAAACTGCTCAAACTGAACCCTTCCAAGCTCAAAAAGGTAATAAAATATGCTTTATTTTATTCTTCTGTAACTGTTACTCTAATATCAGAAGAGTTTTATATTATGGAGACAGGTCGAGCTCCATCCGTGTTATAGTTCCGGGTCACTTTTTTTTTGTATTCATGTTGGTCTCACATAGGCTACAGTATAAGCCTACTATTAAAATAAATAAATAAAATATTTTCCTTACAACTTGAACATTATTTACACATTTCTTGATACATTTTTAAAGATAAAAAGTTTAGATAATGATGATAATGATTTAATTTGGATTAATTTGGCCCTCCATATTGGGAGGTTGCACCACATGATATTACATACAATCTGAACTAACCTTGTTATGTAAAAAAATAAAGATTAATATTTTAAGAGCCTTATTGATCAAGGTTGGTTTTTAGGTGTCCACTTTATGATATTAATTGTCCTTTTTTGTGTTTTTCTTCGGCATATTGTTTGACAAGAGATTTTCAAATATTTATAAATGTTTTAGGTTTTAGCCTAATGTTTCACTGCTTTTGTTTATATATATAATATTGCCCAAGTAGCCTACTTAGAATTTCCTTACAAAAAAATCCTCTTTTTAATACAGCTTTTTTCTTCATTAGCTATGATATCAGGACTACTACCACAATAAAAAATATTTTCTATTTTTGATCGTCACGTTTTTGATCCAAAATGCAATGCAAGTTATTTTAGATGAAAGCATCTTCATCCTCCAAACATAATTCAGTGCTGCCTGAGAATTATGAATTCAATACCTGGTGGCCTATAGTGTAGTATCTGTGTTTCTCTTGTGCCCTCCGCTGGCTGACTGGTGGTACTGCAATAATTCCACCAGGAACGACGTCTGCCTCTTTCTCTTCCTCCCGCTTGTCACCGAGGGCAGTTTCCTCTGGGGCCATGATATTGCTCAGTTCCGGTCCTTTTGATGGATTACTAATGTGGACAGGTAAGATTACAATAAGAGGATTAATAGTTTAACACTTGAACGAGTATAAGATTTAAGATGGTGAAAGAATAAACAGGGAAAGCAAATCAGAGCATTGAGTGATTACAGAAAAAAAGTCATGCTATGCTTCATTTATCTCTGTGCATAATATAATGCATAACAGTGCATACAAAACTGTAAACCACAACTGGAAAGAACTGATACCAGACTTCTGAAGCCCACTGCCAGCTGCGACCTTTAAATCGCCAAATAACACACACACTTGTTTTTCTATCATGGTGGGTTTATCATTTTTCCATTGACGTCTATTGTTTTTAAATTGAGCTAATAATGACTTCTGTTGTTTTTATATATAGTTAAATGAAATTATTATTATTATTATTATGTTATGCATGACTTGTTTTGACAATTGAGGACATCCTCAGATATTCCCTATAGGTTTAGCTCACTTCTGCGGACAAATTTGTCCCCAAATTCTAAGTAAATATAGTGTTAAACACACACACACACACACGCATGCACGCACGCACACACACACACACACACACACACACACACACACACACACACACACACACACACACACACACACACACACACACACACACACGTTGGGTGTTCATGTTTCATAGGGACATTCCATAGACAATGATGTTTATACACACTTTTAAACAAACTGTATATTCTATCCCCCTACACTACCCCTACCCATCAAAGAAAACTTTCTGCATTTTTACATTTTCAAAGAACATCACTTATGATTAATAAGGCGTTTTCCTCATGGACACCAAAAAATGTCAAGGATTTCGTATCTTGCCATCTTTGTGGGGACATTTTGGCCCCAAAATGTAGGGTTTACCAACACACCATCCCCCCCCCCCCCCCCCCCCCCCCCACACACACACACACACACACTCTCATCAATACTCAATTTACAAGCGACTCTGACATGGACAGACACGCTAAAGTTTATAAACACGCATACCCTTACTATGTCTGATTCACACACTTCTCTGTAACTCAGGTGAGTCATATTTACCCAGGCATGAATCTCACGGGCAAGAAATTCATTAGTGTGTGATTCATAAGACTCGCACACACATGTTCTGAGAAAGATCTAAAAAGTCAGCCCACGTTTGACATCACTTTTTGGCAATACATCAATTCCGCTCACCTTGTCAACATTATCAGCAATCTATTGAAAATACCCGGAACGTACGTACGAACACGCACACACCACCATTCACATCCACATATGTTTACAAATTCACATCTGTCCTTATATATACAAGCATAGCATGTCATATACTGTACATAAGCACACAGTAATAACACATAATTTAGAAAAAATGTTATACAAGCAATTTAAGTGCCATTTACATCAATATTTGAAAATCTGCAGCGTAAGTAGATTTACAGTACAATCTCAACTTAGATGTGATTCTTATTTCAGAGATTATCCTTAGCCAATCACACACACACACACACTCTCTTTCGTGGCAAGTCTTCCTCAGTAGATACCTGGATTTATCTGTGTCCATTTCCCTCAGTCAGACAGACATCTTTAAGGTCTCTTTCTCTCCCACTTGTCTCCCTTCTAGTCCTCTGTGTATTTTTCTTTTTCGTTCTTTAACCCTTCCTTCAGTAACAGGTTGAGCAAGTGAGACAGGATTCTTTAGTCTTAGATCTCAGGCCTGGCTGCGCCCTGAGAGGATAAACCTGATCAAGCCATTAGTGTTTTCTGATGTGATTGACAACCAGCCAGCCGTAGATCACAGGTACATTACAACATGTGAAGTTACAATTGTTTGGGATGATAGATTTGTGGTTTAGTCCCACATAGACAAGCATGTACACACACACACACACACACACACACACACACACACACACACACACACACACACACACACACACAATAAGGAAGAAATATGTTGTTTAGTGTCCAATCAGGAAATGAATATGCCTGGTAGGATTTGATTGTTTGCCCAAGAAAAACCCCATCAGTATGATGTTACAGTGATATTTAGGTAGATTTGGCTCAGGTTTGTTCTTCAAGTGTAAATTTATTAGATTTTTGGCCATTTTATCATATTTTAAGATATGTTTACAGAACAAATTGTGTAGTACCGTAAGTCAACCAGTGAAAACATGCAGCTCAGCTGATTAAAAATAAAGAACAGGGCAGAGGGCCTGAGAAATATCACTAATTCAGTTGGATAAGAATGCAGAAAAGCAACATTGCGCAAGATCATAACAGACACGCATCAAGACATAATTACACACCGTCATCAAAGGAAGACACGGCTGGATGGTGCTTGTCTAGTGTTAAGGGTCTGCTTATATAACACTAGTAGATTTGGTGCTGGTGAGCTCTTTCATCAAAGCTTGTACTACCAGGTTTCTCAAGAGAGGCTCCTAACAAACATTTTTATCTAAAAACGGGAATCACTATGAACGAAATGCAAATTACACATTCAAAATATGAACAGTTTTTTTGTTGGAGATGTGAAACATACAGGTGAAACTGAAAAAATGATCGTGCAAAAGTGATAATTTTGATGATTATTAAAACCCCAAATTCAAAATCTCAGAAAATTAGAATATTACATGAAATAAATAATTTTAAAAAAGGATTTTAAATACAGAAATGTCGGCCCTCTGAAAAGTATAATCATGCAAATGTATAGTTATATATACTAAATATATTCAAATTTTTCGAGTTTCACCTGTATATATAATTTTACATATCATAATAATCTTTCTTACACATAAAGTCACCATATATGGGTAAATCATACAGGAATTAATAAAAAAGTGAAAAAGTGCCTGATATCAATGGGATCTAAAAAAAAAAGTTTTAATTTTTTGCGAATGTCTATAGTTTTTGGGGACATCTATATATATATGTCTGTTTTTAAGCAAAAACAAATACTTCTGAATGGCTAATGAGATATGAATGCACAGAAATTAGCTTGTATATTACATTACACATTTCTAAAGAAAGACAATGGGAAGTAAAAGTATAAAAAACCCAAGTCTGCCGTTGAAACAAGATGAAAAGATTGGCTGTTCTAACCTGCTTTTAAGTTTAATAAAAGTTTCATAGAAGAACAGCTGTCTTGGGGACATGAGCCAAATATATGTGTAATAACTAAAAAAAAAAAAAAAAATCAGCTGGAGAGGATAGAACATTTAAAAAAAGTTTAAGCAACATTTAAACACTGAAAAGCAAAACATGCTAAATTCACGCATTAGCATATTCAGCTAACAAATCTACAATACTTACCTTGATTATCTTGATAATACAAATCATCTGTGGTCAAATCAGCTTTATATTTGCACATGCACTTTAATGCTATTTTTTTTTTTGCTGAAGCACCATATTAAAAGCCAACGTGATATACAGAAAACATGGCAATACAAATGCAATTAAAGAGAGCTTTTGTTTAAAAAAATACTAAAAATAAATCTATACAGTTGAAGGCTTTTTTAGGTAAATCTAACGAAACATATCAAGAACATGATCAGGTCACATTTCAAAGGTCAGGTGATGGTTACAATGGCTATCATAAATATATAATACTTCACAACAATGCTGTTTCGACTGTAATTTGATCAAATAAATGCAGCCTTAGTGAACATAACAATCTTCTTTCAAAAAATAAAAATAACCTTACTGATCTCTAACTTTTGAACAGTAGTGTTATCATGTAATATGGTGAAATGTGACCTGGACATGTTTTTGTGAGTTTTGTGCTATTATTAAGGAGAACTGCGAGAAAATATCCATGATTATGTCATTTCTATTAAATGTGTATAAAAATGACAACCCAAACCCCAGCCACCTCACAACCCCTGTTCAGATACATGATATAAACTTTGACAGCACGTGAAAAAGCTTTGATGAAATATATATACAACATTCACATAACATTTTAGTGTGAAATCTTGAGACATCTGGAAATATGCCATGGTGTTAAACAGTAATACAGCAGTAGATGCACTTTCACTCTCAAGGGAAGGAATCCATTGGAACTTAGTGGAAGGCTAAGGTCTCTATTAATGCCCCGTTCTCCATTTTCCTCCGAAGGCCTCATTATGAAGAGCTCGTGTCCTGCGAAAGGAACCTGTTCTCGATGTTGTCTGCACAGTTAGCCAAATACATGTCCTTTAATGTTTCTATGAACATCTGGATGCGGTGATATGGCAAAACATTGTTCCCTCCTCCACTGCCACTGTCACTCCAAACCTTCAGCATCTGATAGTGGGCATCCTTGCAGTTCCGGTGGTCTTGTTCTGCCCTGTCAATGTTCTGCTCAGAAACGCCAAGCCGACGTGCAAGTTCTTTAAATCGTCCGATAGGGACCTCATCCAGCACAAAATAGAAGAACTCGTGAACTACAAGAGCGATAGCCAGAGAAAGAGATGGGGGAGAGAAAGACAACAGACATGAATAATCTTTAACCGTCATTACTCAAGCTTCCAGGGATTTGTTTGTTGAAACAAATACACAGACATACTTTTGATCTCTCTTGGGATGCAGTCTGGGAGTTTTCTGTGCTGTTCTGGTTCGCATGGCTGATTTGTAAAAGGATCGCTTTCATTTATTTTGTCTGATGGCACCGTGATAATAAATGTCTGTGGAAAACATAAAATAAACCTCATTATTTAATAACATGCATAAAACAATCATTTCAGTTGTATCCAACTCTTGGAGATTCTATGGGCAATCTTCTGACATGTGCGAGAAACTCTATGAATTTTCTTGGCGATGGTTTTTGCGGGGAAAGTCCTCCTTCCTGTGAGGGGACAATTCTACCCACTGAGCCACTGTGCCGCCCGCATAAAACAATACAATAACCAACAACAACAGATGTAACATTGCATGATCTTGAAAAAATACATGTGTTCTATGAAGGTATTGCAGGAGTCCTATGGAATAATAATTATTTAGAAATTTCCTTCGATAAACAAATTGAAAAAATGCATTAAACAATAATCAGTATTTTCAACCAAAGATAGAGTTAACAAGCTAAATGGTTCATTGTCCCCACACATAACAAGTTAAATCATGACAACTCTCGAAATAGTTTTAGCATGTTAATGTATTTGATCTCAACGCGGCTGCTGTAGATTATTGCTACTAATAGATACACAGACACGTTGCTGAGAGCATGTAAGGTAGACTGCTGCATAAATAGACATTAATCCTGTTGCAGATCTATGCAGGCGGAGCTAGGGGAGGTGGAGGGTTTCAGAGCATCGTTACAGGACAGCAAACACTGAACCAGACTATTTAAATATTGAGCAAGCAATCTCATTGGCTGCAGGATCAGCAGAGGCCAATCAGCTTGTGCTCATGCAGTAATGATGCGATTGCTTGCAGATTACATGTAAAGGACAGATCAGCCTGTGCTCTCTAGAGTTTCATGACTGAACTAGATATTTATTGAAGTAAGATTAGAATGTAATCTTGGATAAATATTCTATGACTATGATTCTGAGCCCTGCTCTATCCATTCAGCAAGGGGTCTTGGGCTGAAAAAGTTCGATAACTTTATTTGATCGAGTATAAGAAAACACATTTTAAAGAAATGAATTATTTTATTTTGCAAAGATGCATCGAATTGATCAAAACAGCAAATGTATTAAAAGAGAAAATGTATTACGGTTTCCACAAAAATGTTAAGCAGCACAACTGTTTTCAACATTGATAATAATAAGAAATGTTTCTTGATTTCTGGAGGATCATGTGACACTTGAGTAATTTGTATTTATTTTTAAACTAACAAGCTATTTTAAAGTGTTATAACATTTCTCAATATTACTGTTTTTCTGTATTTTAAATAATACAGTAAAATAAGCCTTGGTGAGCATAAGTACAGCACCAGTTTAGCATTATTATATGTCATTATTTTCATTATGGGAAATTAGTTTGGTTAAGAGTCCAAAAGAAGGGGCCTCGCGAAAAAGTATACGTATTAGTATATATCATCAAAACTGAATCATCTTCTGTGAAAACAGCACTACAGTAACTATGCATTTAGCATCACATGTGAATCATTCACACTGAGATGAATGGTGTGTGTGGTCTCTTCGTGTCATAGGTTGATCAATAAGTTTACCTGATCTTGGGGAGCAGCTGATGATGACTGCGGTGACAATGCACGATTCCTCTTCCTCTGAAGCCTGATGCCTTCATATAACATAAACACTCCCAATGCTACAACCGTGATGCATGCACAAACGGGAACCAGTATTTGAGGTAATGTGCCTGAAAGATCAATATGATGAAAAACACACAATTAAATTCAACTCTTGTCTGAAGGCATGCTGTTTTTGGACAGCTTTGCTTAGTCATGGCAGGGCAAATTCAAAAGAACATGAACACTAAACGGGACTTCCCAAGATTACTCATGTTTTTCAGAAATTTCTGTCCTGGTTCAGTTTATCAATACACTCTAAAGTCATAGTTTGCCAAGAGTTGGCTGTTTGGCATCCACAATATGAGGAAAGCTAACAGACATCAACAAATGATTTTGAATGGATGTTGATCAGTATTCAGTACTCACCTGAAGGACTTTGGGGGGATTTAACAGGGATTGCTGGACTGCTGGTTATGCACAAGTGTTTACACCATTTCCCACATCTATAGGGCATAGAGAAAACTTAACTAAACATATATTATGTTATTCAGATCCCTTAATTGATCTGTTAATTAGCCATGAAAATAATCCTCAGGTGCTAATTCAATTCACTTCAGTGTTTGTGAAGACCAGCAACGACATGCAGAGAATACACTCTAATATAAAATGTAATAACTTAAACAAGTGCCAGCAGGGCTGAGGAGTACTTAAGGGTGACTTACTCAACGCATGGCTTACAGGAGGTTTTACCCTCAGGGTAATGGTTTTCTTTGCACGTACAGTTTGTATTCTGTTCCCCATTACCTGACAAAAATGGAAACATTAACCAATGGTATCCTACAATGTAAATATAACTTTAATGTATGAAGCTTAATTAAGGTTTTAGGAACTTACATTCACTAGTTTTAAACTGTCCAGGTCCACAATCCTTCCTACAGGGAGAACATTCCCATACCGACTCGCTTAATTTCCTCTTGTAATATCCCTGGTCACACCCACACACCCTATTGGTATCTGGTGTACATGGTGATATCTCCTTCATATGGGCTGTGGATAAGTGACAGATGAAAGACATATGAAAACATCCCATACACAAAATAAATATATTGAAATATATTTTATAGTGTCAAAAATATATGTGGCATATATTCCAAATGCATTGAAATATATTTGCATTGTTGTTCACTTATATTTATCATTTTGAAATATATTCTCAAATATAACAAAAATATATGATGTTAAGTGTGCAATATATTTACATTTATAACGTAATGTAAAATATATGGTCATAAAATGTTTAGCTTGCTAAAGAAGGGTCGAAAATGTATTTTGATCATAGTAATTCCTCTACCTTTTCCCCTATACACAACAGTAGGCTACCATATTTCACTACTGTATTATGACACACAGCTATAATAAATACTGTACTTACATTTAATTGACTGCAATGTAAAATGACAGATAGTTGCTTTCCTAGGACTATTAGGCCATATTAGGTGGCATAACCCTACGTGCAATTATTAGATTTATTGTTGTTTTATTGACATCTTTGCAGAAGTCATTTAAATATTGAAAATATGCACAATATTTATGATGCAAGTATAACCGTGACACTTTCTTTTGTGTATGGGATGGCAAAGATCATATGAATTGGTTATGTGAAGTTTTTAACAATCATCCACTTAATAGGATACCTCATGTTCATTCATACATTTATAACTTTCTTTCTTCTGTGGAACACAAAACAATATATTTTTGTCAATACAATTAAAGTCAGTGGAGTCCAATGTTGTGTTGTACCCCATTGACAATCATTGTATGGACAAAACCTGTTAAACATTTTTTCAAAATATCTTGTGTGTTCCACAGAAGAAAGAAAGTCATCCAGATTTGGAACGATGTGAGGCTGAGTAAATGATGACAGAATTTTCATTTTTGGGGGAACTATCCTTACAAAACAAGAAATACAAAAAAATGAAATTTATAATGGCATTCACGTTTTTTGCAAGTCTGGCAGCTGAAGCAGTTTGGATTGTAGTTTGATCTCTCCAGGTAGGTTCCATTGTCACATTTCACGCATTCTGACCTTTTTTTCGGTTCAGGGCATTCCGCTTTCAACTTAAACCCTAAAGTAGGAAATACGAGTAGAGAGGAGGAGGGAAAAAAAACACGTATGGAAGCTGAACAAAAGATTTCTGTGGAAAACACACCCTGTTGCTACATTATCCATATAACCTTTTTAAATGCTAACAGCTTTGCTCCATTATATGATTAATGTTCTTCTAACCAAAAAAAACAAACAAAAAACATCACATACTTTAATGAAAGGACATTTCACATATAAACTAAAGAATTGAATTTTGCTTTACCTGGATGACATTTATCACAGCAGAATCCCTTTTTACCCAAGTATTCATTATCAAGACAACTTGGTTTCTCTGTCCTGGCTCCACTAATTCCAAAATGTGTTATTGTGTATGATTGGCTGATTAGAATCTGTGGGGAACACAAGATCATTTGGGTGAAAATGTCTGGGGAAATGACTGTGGCTATGCTTGGAATGACATGCAATTAATTGTATGTGTAGAGAGTGCACACAATACTGTATGTGCTTTGCTTGACCTTTCATTTCAAACGTGGTGAATAAACCAGAAGTAATATCTCACACAATTTCAAATAGCACCTTTTACACTCATATGGTCAGATTGTGTCTTTATTATGAGCATAAAAATTACATTATGTTTGGACAGTATATTGCCTACAAGTTTTAATACCAACAGCATGGCCGAATAAACAATAAATTATTCAAAAGTGTAAATGCAACATTATCACATGATGTTTGCTGCATTAAAGCATTAGAAAAACCTTTTTTTTTTCTTAACATTTAGATGTCCAGTCAAATAATGAGTTATGAAAGAGCCTTATAATTCTTTTGGAGGAATGAACTATATGTACAATATAAAGCAACTTCTCTGTTGGGTTGATATTTCTTCAAGATTATGGGTATGGTAGTTCTTCACCAGGAAACATTTTTTTTTTTTTAAATTACACTGACTCATGGCTTCTACAAAAGCAAATATCATTACTTGAAAAATCTTATGTCCGTCTTAAAAGGTTTCTACAATATCATAAAAAAAAATAGGAACCTGAACGTTGTGCCCCATTCCATAGCTACCCAAATACCTCTTAATGATAGTCACCTATGATGAAAAACTTAACAATAAAACATTTTACAGCGTTATTTTAGACGATAACCTTGGCACTTTTGAAAATGAAGGCTTGCTGCAGAGTAAATTGCTTTGCAAATCCTGTCTTACCAGCAATATAATGCGCAGCTGACATTTCCTCATGGCCGCTGTAGAGGGCGCTAAAGCAGCTTATTACTTCACCAAACACACTGTCCGGACAGGGCGGAGGGTCGGAGGATGAAAGATGAGGGAACAATTAAGTGCAGGTAACAGACAGTAAATAATTGGCGAATTATTCATTTCACAACATTACATAGTCAAGACAATGCAAGAGTTATATGTACTCTTATTTCCTTGTTGGGCTATATCAAGCAGAGTAGGCTATCATTACAGAGTAGCCTAACCTGTTGCGAAATACCCTAATGCCTAAGTTACATGAGAAACTGACATCAGATATAAACCACACACAGTATCAAGATGTTACAGATGTTATTGTTACTGGCAGATGAGACCCCCACAGACATAGACTAGGCCCACTAAACATTTCCCCCGTTTTAACCCCACGGCACAGTCCCGACGCCCACATTTGCACTTGAAAGTGTCATATTAAAGATCGCCAGAGATAAAGAGATTTTACTGAGAACAGCGCGTGAACTTACCTCTACTCATGGTAGTTTTCCATTATTATCCTCCCAAAAACTTTTTTATCATCCTTACTGTAGCAAATAACTACAGAAAAGCGTGTAAAAATGTGAGATTTGTAAAGTATCACTACCGTCCATTTCCTCGGAGAAGGAAAGGCAGTCGTTGACTGGAAATGTTATGCGTCACAATAGTCCGCTCCTCCTCTCGTGCCTATGGTGTTCAGGAAGGAATTCGAGCGGAGGGATGAAACCGAAAGTAGGCTACTCTAAGTAAGCTTCTATTACAACATTGAGAAGGGTACAGTCTTACACAGTGATGGCGCCACACTGCTGAAAACAAAATATGCTAAATGTTCATAGAGAAAGTATTAAAGCAAGCATTGCTATGTTGGGTAACAGTTTAGTGTCCTTGTTATGTTACATGTAGGCTACTTACCATAGTAATAAAAGTAAATTATGCATGCATAATTATATCATGCAACTAACCAACCTTAATTATAGGCCTATATTTAAGTAGCCTACTGGGTAATATTAATTAACAACATGGCTACTTACAATATACATATAGGGTTAGGATAGGATTAGGGTTTGCCAAACCCTAATCCTACCCTTACCCTATATTGTAACATGTTGTTAATTAATATTACCCAGTACTTAAATATATGCCTATAATTACACTGTAAGGTGCTGTTCACAAAGAATGCGGTTTTTCATTCCAATGTGATTATATTCCATTGTTTTTCTAGCGCTAGACGGACGTGTATAACCGTTACCCTCGCATTTTGCGGGTTTTGCAGCATCTCGCCCAAACGCATTCTAAAAACGCAAAGTAAAAATTAGTTTAACTTTTAAAGGGGTCATATAATGGTACATGCACTTTTTCAAGTTGATTGTACTGAAATGTGTGTTGGCAGTGCCTGTGCACAACCATCATAATGATAAAAATCCATGCAGTGTTTTTTTTTTATCTCCTTATATGTTGCCCCCTGTCTCAAATCGAGCCGTTTGACCGTGTGACGTCACACGGTCGGACGCCCCTCCCACGATTGTTGATTGACAGCAGCGTTTAAACACAGACCCGCCCTGAGCGATGTGAGCGAGCTGTCACCATCATAGTCCGCTATTGTTGATACGCTGGAGCAGAATGGCGTCTAAGCGATTGTGGTGTTCTGTTCTTGGGTGTAATAACGAACACAGCAGTCATTTTGATGTTCCTAAATCCGAACCGCTGAAGACGCAGTGGCTGAGTTTTGTTATTCCCCACGATCAACGTCAATGCTTTCATGTTTGCGCGAATCATTTCTTACCAGACTGCTTTATAAACGAGGATCAGTATAAAGCTGGTTTTGCTAAGAAGCTTCTCCTGAAAAAACAATCGGTACCGACTAGTCATGTCCCTGCTGCACCTCCAGAAGAAGTGAGTGTAAAGTTGTATTAACCTTTATATTAATCTTTGCAAATCGCGAAAAAAAGTTTTTCATGACCATTAGCTGTAACATCAATCTGTCAATGAACTAACGTATACATCAGTAAACACATAGCGTTCGTATATCTCACTACTCTAACCTGCCAGTACATACAAAAATAGATCAAAGTGACATTACGTTAACCAACCATTCAGAAACGTCCTGTTCGAGCCTTAATTGTCGAACTTCTTCGGGGCCGTCATCTTGTTCCGGGTCCGACTCCGGTTCAAACTGATACGGTTGCAGAGATGTGTCCTCAGAGACTCCCGCTGCCATTCTTTCTCCAAAATATACCCCCAACTGTTGTCAAGGCAACACTCCACGAGTGTTGTGTCAAAACGCCCCACAGAACAGAGGGGCGGAGTTCAAAGCTCATTATCATTTAAAGACACATGGCGTGCTGAAAACAGAGCTGTTTTTGACCGGGTAAAATGGGTGTTTTCTTACAATACTAATGAGAATTTTTAATTAAAGTATATTACAAACTTTTTATTTAGACCCTAAAGAATCATATTAACTTGTATAAAAATGGCATTATATGACCCCTTTAAAAAACTGTTCTGTGTGAACAAGCCCTAACGATGACACCTTCAAATAAAATGTAACCCTATGTTGATGTCTTTTGTTGAGTGTTGGAGAATACACAACGTTATCTTATAGCCTAATACATAGTTTTTATATCAAGCTCTCTGTCCTACGAAACCAGAGTTAAAGAAAACTTAAGTTACCCAAAAATGAAACAGCCTAATGTCATCACTTTTCTTTCTCCCTTAAAAAAGACATTTTTAAGAATGTTTTGGTATGTTGCTACTTGCATCCGGATTACTGAGTAAGTGATTTGAACTTGAGAACCAGGTCAGATTGAATCTTTCAAAATGGTTTTGTAAATAGGATCGACCAATTCATTGATAAGATCTGACACAAATGAGTCAGACATCGCTATAATTTGCTGGAATACACTGTGACTTTTACCCTGATTAGTCTGGACGAGTTAACTCCAGTTGCCAAAAGTTGGAGCCAGCCTGCAGATTTTTGCCAGTCAGAGTAGATTTCACAAAAGAATTGCGTAGTGTATGATGGGCATTAAAATGATGAGCTTCAGACTGTTCCATCCAGTTGGAGGATATCAAACATGTCTGATATTTTGAGTCAATTTTGGAACACATATCGTTGATGTGCCTTTCTATTCTCATGAAGAGTCACAATATGGCTTCAGAAAACTAGTCATGGAACGCTTTTATATTTGGTAGTTGTGGGGCCCTCTTTAGGCTGGACATCTTCAGTACCCACTACCCATTTATTGTCAAAGCATGCAAATAGGAGTACAGTTCTTCAAAATGTCTCCTTTTGTGTTCCATTTAGGGAAGAAAATTATGAGTTTGACCTGAGAGTGAGTAAATGATGACAGAATTCTCATTTATGAGCGAACCATCCCTTTAAGTAATGGCACATTCCCATACCACTGCAGAGACTGCACATAAAAATACATACATACATGGCTTATGTACATGATTTTTTGAATTGCATAACAACTGAGGAAATGTTTTCATATCTCTTCCTGTTACAAGTTTTGTCTTTATTTTTCTCTAGGTGGAATATGAGCTAATAAAGCTCTTAAACTGTTCACTACTAGATTGAGGAAAAAGTAAAAGATATAATAACAGACAGAATGTTGCGCTTTGCTGCTGAAGCAAAGAAATAACTTCCTCACCTCTGAAACCACATCCTGTCTCCATTTCCCCTGTGACCTGCAGTGTAACCATGGAGATTGTAAAAACTGCCCACGGATTGTTCTGTAACATAGTGCAGACTAAACATTGTTCTGCTACTTGTGTATTAAATGGGTCATATAATGCCATTTTCATACAAGTTAATTTGATTCTTTAGGGTCTAAATGAAAAGTTTGTAATATACTTTAATAAAAAATTCTCATTAGTATGGTAAGAAATCACAAATTGTACCTGGTCAAAAACAGCTCTGTTTTCAGCACGCCGTTTCAGTGCATGTGCCTTTAAATGATAATGAGCTTTGCTCACTCCGCCCCTCTGTTCATGCTGGCGTTTTGGTTTTGACAAAGCACGTGGAGTGTTGCCTTGACAACAGTTGAGGGTATATTTTGGAGAGAGAATGGCAGCGGGAGTCTCTGAGGACACATCTGTGCAACCGTATCAGTTTGAACCGGAGTCGGACCCGGAACAAGATGACGGCCGCAAAGAAGTTCGACAATTAAGGCTTGAACAGGACGTTTCTGAATGGTTGTTTAACATAATGTCACTTTGATCTATCTTTGTGTGTACTGGCAGGGTAACGTTAGAGTAACTTAGTGAGATGTACGAACGCTATGTGTTTCCTGATACGTACTCAGTTTGTAATGACACAATAACCATAACGCGTTGTTCATTATAAACGTGGGATTATGAATTATATTGAGAACGTCGTACATAGAAAACATGCCGTAATGTACCCTGAGTGTAAACCTTAGCCGCATTCATCGTGAAGCGTGCAAGCGATTTGCAAAGATAAATATAAAGGTTAATAAAATTTTACACTCACTTCTTCTGGAGGTGCAGCAGGAACACGAATAGTTGGTACCGATTCTTTTTTCAGGAGGAGCATCTTAGCAAAACCAGCTTGACTGACCCTCGTTTATAAAGCAGTCTGGTGAGAAAAGATTTGCGAATTGCGCAAACATGAAAGCAGTGACGTTGCTCGTGGGGAATATTCCCTTCGAAAACAAAACTCAGCCACTGTATCTTCAGCGTTTCGGATTTAGGAACATCAAAATGACTGTGTTCGTTATTACACCCAAGAACAGAACACCACAATCGCTTAGACGCCATTCTGCTCCAGCGTATCAACAATGACGGACTTTGATGACAGCTCGCTCAGGGCGGGGATGTGTTGAAACGCTGCTGTCAATCAACAATCGTGGGAGGGGCGTCCGTTTTATTGACGTCACAAAAAGGAACGGCTCGGGGAAATTTGAGGCAGGGGAAAACATATAAGGAGATTAAAACAAAAACACTGGATAGATTTGTATCATTATATGATGGTTGTGTACAGGCACTGCCAACACACATTTCAGTACAATCAACTTGAAAAAGTGCATGTACCATTATATGAAACCTTTAAATTTAGATGCCATTTTATCTTCTTTAAGTTTTGATATTAAATTTGCAATGCATAACCACATGGCTCAAATGGCAAGATCCTGCTGTTTCATTAGCTTGACCAACAAGGCCAATACTGCACCCGCAGGGTTTGCTGGCAGATTAAACAATTATTCTCATATGTTAAAAATGGAGCTCGATCGCTTTATATGATGAACAGATTGAATTTTAGGCACAGGATTCATGTATTAGACAAATAGCCGAACTATATCAATCTTTCATTTAGATGAATGGGAATGCTAACAGTTTTATCATAGACAGTAAAAGAAATGGACACAGCGACCCCATAGACTTCAACGGAGAAAAGTGAAGTCAATCAGAAGCACTCACTTCCTGATTGCCAAGCGCACTGCGCAGGCTCAAACTGAGCTGGACGACGTAGATGTGACGTAAGCAACCTGTCTCACAGTTGTACGTCTTCTAGTAGTTGTGCCAAGAGGAATCTGAATCATTCCCTTCCGGATCTTGCAGAGCCGGAGATGGTGAGTATTGGATGTCCATGAGCTAGCAGCAGGATTAGCTTTATGACTCTCTATGGGCTTCTCCCTTGAC